TAACCATTGCTAAACATACAGCAATAAGTTCTATATTTTGTATGTGTAATGGAACCGTCTGTAGATACGATATAAAAAGTTTTTCCGGGTTATTTTATCTGCAAATAAAAATTAATACTTTTCTAGTTTTTTTTTATCGCTTTTCCATTCCCCTTTTACATATTTTATGCGAAATTTCATAAAACAAAAAACTTATATTTCCGTGCACATTGATTTTTTAATAACAAGAAGGCAAAGATTAAAATGCCGCCGGGAATGCTACGTAACAGAAAAATATCGGATTGATATTTCAACTTTAAATTCAGAAGTGCTGGAAAATATTTTCGAGGCGGACATATTTTTCACATTACGGATATGCCTCCTGGACATAACCGTATTTCAAACGGTTATAAATATCGACCATTGCACATGATTGTATAATGTCATATAAATAGTGGATATATTCGGGATTAACTTCCAATCCCACCAATAAATACCTTCTTTTATTACCGGGTTCAAGATCGTAAATTTTTACACAAACACCAATCATAGTAAAGTTAAAGCAGCCACATAAGGTTTCAATCTGTTGCAATGCACTTCTTTCCATAAAATAAACAAAATAATTAAAGCAACTTCTGAAGTCGTAAAGCGTACGATTTCTTTGTATTTAGCAATTAGCAACCTTTGTTGCTTTGTTTATTTAGTTCATCGTCGAATCCTTTTTAATTGCCTCTGCACCTTCAAACACAAGTAGTGCTTAATGGGGCGCAGTTAAGAAAACTTGTTACTTTAATTTGGTACTATTTAATTGGCCATCCTGGGAAACCTCGATAGAATACGATATTCAAGCGAACAAAAAAGCGACTTGGCAATATTTTACCCCTTAATGATTATATCTCAATTTCGTTTTTTTGCTAGTCGTTTTTGTGATGGCAACCTGTCGCCAACAGGGCCGGAGACTTTATATAAGGCTTATAACATGCAAAAACGGATTATGCCTCCATAGAGTAATGCATTACGTTCTACGGTATGCAGTAAAATCGATTAGTCACAAAACGTGTCATTCTCGCGAACAGGATAAAATACCCTTTGTGTGTGTCTTCGAGTTCTACAATCGAAATTTGATTTTTAATCCGGGGATCAAAAATTGAGATTGAACAGAGTAACAAGCCAATATTTGGCTTCAAACACTTGTAAATGGTGTTACACCCTAGATTCTTTGGAACATTTAAGAGTTTTCACTTTAAAGTTAAACTTTTAATTTGTGTTTTAATAGTTATTTGTTTTATAAGTGTTGAAAAGCGAATTTTTCATGCGAGTGTTTAGGTTGCTCACGAGGCCGTTAACACGAGCTTGAAGAAAGGTTTTCTCACAAGTGAAACACAATGTTTTTTCTACGACCTTTTTATTTTCTATTATTTTTAAATACAAAACAGAATAACCTTCCTTCCCAATTTAAATAAAGGCACTAAAAATTAGAATTTAGTATACAATAGGGTGATTCAAAAAAACCTTTTTTTGTTTTTTTTTTCTCGGAACCACGCTCAAAAGTTTCGTATAGATATAAAAATGAGCCTGTGAAAAAATGAGCTCTTAATTTCAAAATTAAGATGCTCCGCATCGCACTTTTCGATTTTCCATAAGAATAACATATAATAACATATATGTTATAGGAAAAATTATTTTTGTTTCTTTTTATTTTTGTAACTAACGAACAATAGGTCGTACTATAAAGTTTTTGAAACATTTTTGTAGAGAATTGAACGCTCTACAAAAAAGGTTTTTTATGATTTTTTGATAAATTTGATCCTTCTAAAGAAATTTAAGGTCAAAGTTCAAATTATACGAAATTTTTGTGTTTTTTGACTACCCGATTCATTTAAAAAAATTGAAATATTTTTGTAGAGAATTGAACGCTCTACAAAAAAGGTCTAGAGTCATTTTTCGGTAAGTTAACTTGGTTAAAAGTTATTCAAGGTTAAAGTGAAATTAACCGTCAATTTAGTCGTTTTCTCGATTTTTTTTCCGGATTTTTTAGTTCAAAGGGCTAAAAACGAATCGAAATATTGTTTTTGAGCTCTGGAAATTCGGAAAAACCGCGTTCAATTCTCTACAAAAATATTTCAAAATTTTTTAAATGAGTCGGGCAGACTCGCCAAAAAAGTTTAAAAAACCCAAACATTTTGTATAATTTGAACTTTGACCTTAAATTTCTTTAGAAGGATCAAATTTATCAAAAAATCATAAGAAACCTTTTTTGTAGAGCGTTAAATTCTCTACAAAAATATGTATGTTTATAGTAGGACCTATTGTTCATTAGTTACAAAAATAAAAAGAAACAAAAATAATTTCAAGAACTTTACAGTACGATCTATTGTTCGTTAGTTACAAAAATAAAAAGAAACAAAAATAACTTTTCCTATGTTATTCTTATAGAAAATCGAAAAGTGCGATGCGGAGCATCTTAATTTTGATATTAAGAGCTCATTTTTTCACAGGCTCATTTTTATATCTATACGAAACTTTTGAGCGTGGTTCCGAGAAAAAAAAAGGTTTTTTTGAATCACCCTAGTATACAAACAAAATTAATTGTGTTCTTAATGATATTTAGACATACATATACAAATACAATACAAATTTTGAAACGAATGTCAAACGATGCTGTCAATTTCTTTTCATACAGACCTGTCACTTTTCACACATAAATGTCATTTTACCTTGCCAATGAAAACATTCATTTTCTAAGCAACGATGCCATTACGAAATGTGACTTTTACATAGTGGTCGTAAAAAAAATTGTTTGTCTATTCAGATTATTTACTTGTTGTTGAGTAGTTCATTTCACTGTGCGATGTTTCAAGGGCTACATCGACACCCAAGACATGTATATAAGACCGTGGTGGCAGCAATAAAAGTAAAGTCAATAATGGGCAATTGCACTTTTACCGCACTGGAATACGAGTTCAAGTAATATTTTTGCGGTTGGAACACATAACATGGACTGAAATGTCGATCTCTACTTTAAATCAAATAAATCGTTTTCTCCTGGATGCACCGTAATAAATATTCCTTTATTTATTCGCTGAATGCTCGTCGCATACCACTCAACAATTTCATACCTTGTGTGCCATACTCTTTTACTATGCATTTTATCGACTTCGTTTCTAAACGACTTGTTTGTTATTATATTGTTTGAAAAATATTATTTTCAAAATAATATATTATCAATGTTGTTTCTTTTAGATTTATTTTAGTTTACAAAAGAATATAAATCAATACTTTTGTTCTAAAGTAAAAATTTGATTTTTTTTTTAATATTGGACGTAACAATGTGCTAACGTAATATATAGATGACCCCTAGTCGGATTTTTATTTTAAAATATTGTTAGTGTGTTTTTTAAGTATTGCATATAAAATAAAAATAAATCAATGGAATTTTTAAATACGTTAAAATATATACAATATATAAAAATTAACTGATTTTATAAACAAAATGTTGAATTAAATTCAAATAAATCAATTATTGTAAGAGTTTTTTAGTATTGTGTGTATGTGTTTTACAACCGAATTTCTCATTGACACGATAAAAATAAATTTCCGGCAAAGGCTTCAAAAAGCGATAAATCACACTGCATAAAATGTATTTTTCCAAAAAATAAAAAATCCAATAAATTGTAACATTTGACAGGGACACAATAAATGAATCGCCTCGTACAGATATTTATTTTGTTTAATGATCTTTATCTCATCGCGTGTAACATCGCCACCAGGACGTATTTATTACGCTCCGGGGAAATTCTCGGCTTAATTTTTTACCATATAAATCAAAAGAGATCGTGTTTATTTACAATCCTAATTTTTTAAGCGGTCCCAAAGTAAAACTTAAATTTACACGTTAAAAGAAAAATTATGCCAGTGATAATGGTATATTCAAGAACTAATGTCATAAGACGTCATTTTGTCGCACGAGGACAATTTGTAATGGACGAGTGCGAAAAAAGGTCTTTTGACATGAGTTCTTTATGCTATTTTATCTATTTGGCAAAAAGTCTATAAAAAAATTAATTTACACCTTATATAATTTGGTCGAATTTTACTTTAGATAGTTGGTATCACAGTCATTGGTTTTCTACTCCCACCTTTAAAACGCCCTTTATCGTACATGTTTTCATGATACTAAGTGACCTTTTAAATATTGACAAGTTGTGGCTTTATGGCGCTTTAGTCACAGGCTGAAGTTTTAAGTAAGTTGACAGTTGTCAAATGTGATACAATCGTTAAAATAAAGTGCCTTTCTTGTAAAATAATACTAAATGTGAAAATTATTTTATTATCTCAATATAAAAATACAAAAGTATTAAATAGTTACTCAACGTCAATATTTGAAAAGTTTATATGAACATTGTACTGACCTTTTAATTTCGCCGGCAGTAAACTATAACTTAAATTCGGGCACGGACTCCACTGTAAAGTGCTCATAAAACATTTTCTTTACTTTCACTGTGAAAACTGTCAATTTTTAAGAAATACATTTCGATTTATAACCTTTATAATCTGTGTTTATAAAATATAAAATTTTACATTTGATGGTGACACACAGATTCCCCTATTGTTTCATAGATGGCGCTCTATACAAATTTTTGATTTAAATCATTTTAAGATAATAATAAGTATTTGTCGTAAAAAAAGTATAGTATGCACCTCGTTTATAAACTTTTCTGTACACTCATTAATTTAAGCACTCGCTCGCAAGCTCGCTCGTGCATAAATTAAATTCGTCTATAAAATGGCGTTTATCAAACTTGATACATAATATACTATTTCAGATAATATTAAGTATTTATATGGCGTTTATCAATCTTGATGCATAATACACTATTTTAACTCCTTGGCCATTTTTAAAATAAACTATAAAAGCCTTAATAATTAAAAATAATAAATCGTTTTTAGGCACATTTTTTTTGCTTTTGGTTATTTATTGATACAATTTACAAAATTTAAAACATATTTTTTTGTTACAGACACAAATAAAATCAAAAAATTCATCTGTACAAGCACGCAGCAAAAAAGCGAATTATCGCAAGGCACAGCAAGGCAAATTTAATTTGTCGCGAAGGTATTGGAAAAAGTTTGAAAGAAAATTGGCAACAGATGTTTTCATGGACCGTGCGATTAAGTAGTCGAGAAATTTGAAGCGACAAGTTTTAAATTATTTACTTATCGATTATACGTTAGCCGGATTTTATACTCAAGCATAAGGAAACATGTGAATTGAATTAAAGGAATTTTTAAGGAGTACTGTAACTGTACATCCATGGATGTCCTTGCGGGATGTGGTGGAGGCGCAAGACAACTTTTAAAGGTAAGAACATTTATTATACGAGCCCTAACACAAAAATGTTCGGACACTTCATAATTTATACAGAAATATTTTTCGTGAATACTATCTCAAAATTATTAGAAGTTATGAAAAATTCAGCTCATTTTAGCATATACCCCTCGAAGCGATTTTTATTTTTAAAAAGTTTACCTTTTATTTTTAGCTTTTAAAAAAGCTAACTTTAGTCAAATTCTACTAAATTAAATAGTCAAATTAGTAGATTTATATTTAAATAAGGTTTTGTCCAAGGCGGGGATTGAACTCAGGTCTTTCACTTGTCAAGCTTGTCAAGCTGTTGTCATAACCCATTTGGCTATCAGTCGCTCTTATAAAAATCAATTTTATTTGTCAATAAATATTATTCATAATATTTTAAAGTTGAATATCTTATTTGTGTTGCTGTTTTGGGCTAAACTTTTTGCATCTTGATTTGTTTTTATGAATAATTTAACCTTGGAGCCTAGGTATATGCATTTAATTCAAATAATACTTTGTTGTTGGCCGCAAACGATTAAAGAAATTAGTTACTTTTAACTCTCAGAAATAGATGGTGATTAATCTTAAATTAGTCAAACTTTAACTATTTACGTAGTAAAAAATAACTATATAAAAGTGAAAAATTTTATTAGTAAAAATGCTGGTACTAATTTTTAGAGAGAATATTTGTTTGACAGCTACTGATAAATAGTTATATTACCTTACAAATTTAATTTTGGGATTTCATTATTAATATAAATTTTTTTCTTGTCAAAGGCTATTTCAGCATCTTTTATGTCACTAAAACTACCATTTTATTTTAATATTAAAACCAAAGTTTTTAATGCCTTTTCAAGCAAAACACAAAACCAACTTGACACTGACAGTACGATGGGCATTACGTGTCCATTCTTTTAAAATGTTCATAAAAGAAACGAATATATATTTGAGGAATTTTTGTAAACAACCTAACTTATAATTTTCCGAAATGCTTTCTAATTTTCATGATATTACAAAACAATACGTAAAGAGTAAAACAGAGATAATTTAAATTTGCTAGGCCATTACTTCCGGCGAAGTTAAATTAGTAGTGCTGCGTTAAATTCAATAATTTTAACGAAATTAATCAACTAACTCGATCAATTATCAATTAACCCCTTTGGCGAATTTAATACCGATACGGAGAAGACAGTGTGTACTGTGTAATACCTCTGCTTGTCTTCTTCTCTCCCCCATCGTTTACAACGTAAAAACTAATTTAAAGGCCCTTTATAAATTATTAATCAAGTTACCTATAGAGAAACGGCCCTGTCAACTGAAGCTTCGAAAGTTTTCAAACTTTTCGAATTGTGCGCGGGCATTGGGTTTGACGCTTTACAGTTCTAACGGACATTTGTTTGTATTTAATTTTAATCAAAGTTTAGTTGGGGTGAAATACGCTGCCCAACACAGAAGTTGTCCTTTGAATGTTAATCAATTGTTTTACTAGTTTGAATTAAAATGTTTTAAGAAATTTTGTGAGTGGGCGACTGAAATCTTTAGAGACAACCGTCTTGAATTATTCCCCCTTCTCTTAAAAACCAAATGTTGCGTCATACCTTTGAACTATGGTCCACACCTTAAAGTGACCACGTACGGAACGCAGTCTTTTGAAAATTTGGCATTTAAGGCTTTTCAGGTTATGTATCTGTCAAAGTATAGTAAACGAAAGAAATAATATTATGTAGGCGTTAAAAATGTATAAATCTTTATAACATTAGAATAACAATGGATGGTTTAAGAATTTAAGAATACAAATACTGCATTTAATGAAATTCTAAAGTTTATGGTGCCAAATAAGTAATATTTTTGTGCATTTGGTCCAAATATCTGGTTTTTTCCATAAAATAATTTTAACTAAACAGCATTTATTAAAAAAAATCTAGCTTCTCTATTATGGAATAAGAATATCTGTATTAAAGGTAGGTTAATATATTATAATAAAAATATCATCTAATTTTGTAATTTTAAGGTTAGAAAAATTTATTTTGACCAAAATAAATAAGTATTTTAGATTATTTAATAGACTGTATAATATGATATTTAAAAATGTGGTAGTTTTTCTTATCCAGCTTAAAATGTACCTACATAAAGTTTTGTCAATACAAATAGTTAAAAAGCTTCGACTGAATTTGATCTACATCAAAAAATCATTATAAATTTAAAATTTTTAATAAATCACATGTCATGGGAGTATTAAATATTTTCACATTGCAAGTTTCTCTAAAAATTGTTTGTTTTCTTATAATCTAACTTAAAGTAAGTATGCCGAGAGGTATGCACAAGTTTTGTCGTTAGAAGTATAAAAGCTTCAATTTAATTTGAACTATATTCAACAATTATTTAGTATACCTATATTTATTTATGACCATATTAACACACTCTTTCAAATAATCCACTTATTTATTTTGGTCAAAATAGATTTTTCTAACCTTAAAATACAAAATTAGATGATATTTTTTGTTCTAATACATTAACTTACCTTTGATACAGATATTCTTATTTCATAATAGAGAAGTTAGATTTTTTGTAATAAATGCTGTTTAGTTAAAACTATTTTATGGAGAAATGTAGACGTAATGCACCTTACACTTTGGAATTTCATTAAATGCAGTATTTATATTCCTAAATTCTTAAACCAACCATTGTTTTTGTGATACTATAAAGATTTATTAACTTTTAACGCTTAAACATAAGCGGTATCACTATAAATATTATTTCTTTCATTGACTATACTTTGACAGATACATAACTTGAAAAGCCTTAAATACCAAATTTTCAAAAGACTGCGTTCCGTACGTGGTCATGTGGTGGGACTTTGAGGTGTGAAGCATAGAACGTGAAACAAAAAACCAATTTGGGTAAAACAAGCTATAAAACTAATGGCAATTCTTTGAGGCGAAGATATCTGGCGACGGTTTTTCCGAATTTAATTTAGCAAAGTGAAGGTAATTAAAAAATTACGGTATTATCTTTCCGTTTTTTGAGGGGCCAATTATTTGCCCGCAGTGCCGCTGACAATTCGGTCGACCTAATCGTTTCCTTTTATCCTGCTGCCGTTCGAACGTTCCTGCTACCGCGCCGCACTAACGCTAATCGCGCCCGGCCATGATCCTGCTGTCTGCCGCCGCCATCGTTTCCTGCAAAAAAGGATAATGATCGCGTCGACCTCAAATTTTGCTCTAAAGAAGGATTTAAGAGAAAAATGGCCTATGGCCTTTTCCTTTTTACCATTTGTTTATTATGTTATTGTGAATATACAGGGTGTCACCAAATAAGTTCCTTTAAGGGGATGATAGTACACGCCAAAGTAAGAAAGTTTTTGCATTAGTACCATTTTTTAAATAAAAAAAAGTAGAAATTTTGGGCCGCCACTGGTTGTTCCTGACCTATGCAAACTGCAAAGATTAAATATACTTTTCTTCAATATGCGCCACAAAAAAATTAAGTTAAAATGCAAGACAGTGATGGAAGGGAAAAGTGTTTAAAGGCCTTCGAGATTTAAATCGTAATTTTTTTACTTTTAATTATTTTTATAAACAAGGTTCTTTTTATTTAAAAAAAATCAATATTAATATTAGCTCTTACTGGTAATATTCATATTCAAGATTCTTATGAATATTACCAGTAATGGGTCAAAACAATTTCTTAAAGAAACTAAGAAAATTGAATGTTTACCTTAATGTTTAGCCCGGTTGGGTTAATTCTAGATTCCTTTAGGCCATATTAGTATCTGTGATACAATTGCTGTGTGCAGTCCCGGTTGCGTATTGGCATTGTGTACTACGATACAGAGCCATAGTGTTCTGAATCGTAGTAAGGATTGACAAAATTAAACGCCACTAACTACAATACAATCCATACTACGATTCAGCACATCTCCCAGTTTGTGATGTTCTGAATCATAGTAGAGAATGTTGAAGTGTTTGCGCGAATGCCGCAGGCCATACTTTACTGCGATTCAGAAAATATTGGCAATATATGTGCCGCACGCATAAAGTAATAAGCCAGAGTTATATATAACTATAGGTTATGTTAGAAATTAATTGATAGTAGTGAAACAGACCCAACCAAAAATCTCACTGACAATATTTATTTTTTTTTATCGATTTTTCAAGTTAATTAACTTAAAGATCGTTTTACCCTAAAATTTTATTTGGCTTTATAATCGACAATCCTTAATAGATGTTTATAAATATTTTAGTAGTTAATGCCCTCATGTTTCTATTTTTCTTTCTTAAATATAAGAGAAAAAAGCAAAGGATTTTATATATTTAAAAAATAAAAAATATAACTTTAAATTATTATATCAAGTATAATCTATGTATTTTTATTTGGTGTCTATTAAAGAAAACAACACAATACAAAATATAATATAATATAATACAATACAATACAATACAATAAAATAAAATTTCTTATTTCTGTATGTATATTTTATGTTTATGATTTTGCAAAATTAATAGTTTTATAAAACATACATACATATATGTAAAAGTAGAAAAAAAAGCCTATTAACTATTTCAAATATTATTTAAATCCGTTGTGGTACGTTTATATCTGATACTTGCAAAATTTTTGGGTAAAACGATCTTTTTGTTAATAAGTTTAAAATGATTTTTTTCCTTTGGGTTAATGTATATTTATTATTAAAACTGCAGAGAGTACCTAGTTTGTTTTTAAATTCCAATTAAAAATAATAATTTGTTTTTATTGATAAGGCGTGCAGCTAGCGTATTTAAATTAGAATACTATTTTCTGAATCGTAGTAAAGTATGGCCTGCTGCGGTCGCGCATACCCTACACCATTCTCTACTATGATTCAGAACATCACAAACTGGGAGATGTGCTGAATCGTAGTATGGATTGTATTGTACTTAGTGGCGTTTAATTTTGTCAATCCTTACTGCGATTTAGAACACTATGGCTCTGTATCGTAGTACACAATGCCAATACGCGTCCCGGTTGCATAGTATGTACCGATTGCGGCAAAGGCCACGTCGTTTGACGGTGTGGATCACCTGATGTTCTTACATCTCGCCTCTGTTGGCTTACCAACCGAGCATATAAGCTCAGGGAGTCCTTTGTTTTGATTGTGTTTCACTACACCAAGTTGCCCGACACTGATGAGACCCAATATAGGTCGAAACAGCTGTCTGTCGGTATTTGAAGTTGGTGGAACGCAATCAAAACAAAAAACTTTGGCGAGGTGTAGGTTTAATTTTTTCTAATCAAGGTAAGATTTGCACCAAAAATTATTTATTTGCATTTATCCTGACAGGAAAAATATTAATATATATAAATATATTAAAGGTAAAAACAATGATGATATATAGGATATGTCAGTGACATCCAGTGGGTCCCTGGTTTTGTCATCCACCAAAGGATTACAATATATTAGGTGACACCCTATATAAAGTAACTATTTCCAACCTGCGACTTAGTTCGCGTGGAATGAGTAGGTACTGTACCTTAGCTATGATAAAGGGTCAGTCAAAGGTCAAAGTTCACGAAGTTCAGTTTCAGGGAGCGAGAATACACATCTCTTAATCTTTGTTTCAGGTGGTGAAAAGTCGTGACTCGCGCTAGCAAAGAAAAAAAAATGAACGTGGAACGGGGTGCGGGTTGCGCCCCAAAGCCGGAGTACCGCGACAGCAGCCGCAGAAGCGGGTGGTGGTGACGAAGCGCCGCCACCTTCGCCGCCATGCGTCCGCCGCCCCTTGCAAGACACTCGTGCGCGTGTGCGCTGATTCGCTTTGTCGTCGCCTCGGTCGTGTTCGTCGGGCTGGTGGAGGAGTCGGGCGCCGGCGCCTCGCTGCTCGTGCACAAGTACAGCACCAGGGTGGTGCGCACCAAGTACGGCCCGCTGAGGGGCGTCATGATACACATACACCCGCCGGTCGAGGCCTTTCTGGGAGTGCCGTACGCCACGCCGCCAATCGGAAGTCTGAGGTGAGTACTAAAGAAAATGCGCACTATTGGAACATTTTACCTTACTACGAAAAACCCACTGTACTATGCTCCACACCTCAAAGTCCCACCACGTGACCACGTACGGAACGCAGTCTTTTGAAAATTTGGCATTTAAGGCTTTTCAGGTTATGTATCTGTCAAAGTATAGTCAATGAAAGAAATAATATTTATAGTGTTACCGCTTATGTTTAAGCGTTAAAAGTTAATAAATCTTTATAGTATCACAATAACAATGGTTGGTTTAAGAATTTAGGAATATAAATACTGCATTTAATGAAATTCCAAAGTGTAAGGTGCAATATAAGTGATATTTTTGTGCATTGGGTCTACATTTCTCCATAAAATAGTTTTAACTAAAAAGCATGTATTAAAAAAAAATCTAACTTCTCTATTATAAAATAAGAATATCTGTATCAAAGGTAGGTTAATGTAAGTAGTAAGTAAGTGGATTATTTGGAAGAGTGTGTTAATATGGTCATAAATAAATATAGGTATACTAAATAATTGTTGAATATGGTTCAAATTAAATTGAAGCTTTTATACTTCTAATGACAAAACTTGTGCATACCTCTCGGCATACCTACTTTAAGTTAGATTATAAGAAAACAAACAATTTTTAGAGAAACTTGCAATGTGGAAATATTTAATACACCCATGACATGTGATTTATTAAAATTTTTAAAGTCATAATCATTTTTCGATGTAGATCAAGTTCAGTCAAGCTTTTTAACTATTTGTAGTGACAAAACTTTATGTACCTAGGTACACTTTAAGCTGGATAAAAAAACTACCACATTTTTAAATACCATATTATACAGTCTTTTAAATAATCCAAAATACTTATTAATTTACATTAAAATTACAAAATTAGATAATATATTTGTTATAATATATTAACCTACCTTTAAAACAGATATTCTTATTCCATAATAGAGAAGCAAGATTTTTTTAATAAATGCTGTTTAGTTAAAATTATTTTATGGAGAAAACCAGGTATTTGGACCAAATGCACAAAAATATTACTTATTTGGCACCATACACTTTAGAATTTCATTAAATGCAGTATTTATATTCTTAAATTCTTAAACCATCCATTGTTATTGTAATCTTATAAAGATTTATACATTTCTAACGCCTAAACATAATATTATTTCTTTCGTTAACTATACTTTGACAGATACATAACCTGAAAAGCCTTAAATGCCAAATTTTCAAAAGGTGTGGAGCTTAGTACTTACTTGGACACAATTTTTTTTCATTTAATTTATTTATTTACTTATTTATTTAATGCTATTTCTACCTGTTCTTACTTATGCATGGACACAAAAACCAATCCTCTACATTAAAAAATTAAAAGCGTATAAAATTAAACAAATTTTAAATATTATTTTTTTTCATGCAAATAAATTTTCTGCAGGTATCCAATTATCCTTCTATGGGAATTTTTTAAATTTGAAGAGCAACAAGGTTGGTTAAATAAAAGAAAAGTTGCGTAATCACAAGCCTATTAATATAAAATTTATAAATTAAAGAAAAAAACAGAGGTTCTCTAAATATTTAAAAAAAACTAAAAACCTTTTAAAACCACGGCATTTCTGGAAATAACGAAGTAATATATAATTTTTTGGTTTGGACAGATTTTCATATTTTTTTTTTTAATTATTTGAGAATCGTAATTTTTTTCAAATTATTAAATGCCATTTTAATGGTCTTGTAATTATGCAACTTTTCTTTAAATTTACCTTGAGGACTCTTCAAATAAAAAAGATACTCATACGTAGAAGGATACTTGGTGCACCCTGTATATAGATGGACATTACTAGTCAAACTATTATTAATAAACACCACCGTACAATAATGACGCTAAAATTTCATCTGTCAGTTTAACCTAAACCAATAAATTTCATTAATAAATTGTCTTCTAATGCGGCAAAAGCCTATTAATTGCCTTGTATAAATCTAGCTTTGGCAGTGAAATGTATGTTTGACTATAATATTAGTTTTTTTGCCAGGCTCATAATGTACAGTACATTTTTATTTATTTATTAATTTATTTATCATCATAATTACATTTTTTACATATTTTATTGTACATCCCTATTTTATAGTTTAATGCTGCAGATAATGATAAAAGAAAAAAATATAAATACGTTTTTGTGTGATGAACTAAGATTTTATATACAATGCAACATTTCTTTCAATTCAATTTTAAATAATATTAGTTTTATTATAGATGAGAGAAGCATTTTTAATATAATAAATAAAATAAATCTGACTATCATTTTTCGAATTACGTTAAGATTTGTGTTTTATTTGGTTATTTCCGCTTTACTTGATTTGTTAAAAATCCAAATTGTCAAAAATGGCGAATGCCCCGGGATTAAAACACGAAATTTTTAGTATTATGTAATTCAAACAAAACATTTCCTATTATAATTTGAATTCATGTATTTTAATAATTAATTAATATAAATAAATACATCAAGCCGCAGAATTTCAAATCCATGTATTTACGATGTAACACACGTTGTTTGACCCAGATATTATCTTTGTGGATCGTGATTATTAAACTTCAATTATTAAATTATAAATTCAAATAATAGTTACACTAAATTTTATTTCATACATGGTTTTTTGTCATTTAAGTCACGGGCTAAAGTTGATTTTATTATTAATTGGAAAAAAGTGAGGTTAAATTCGTTGACAGTTGGCAGATGTCAAATGTTCAACATGTAAAATTGGCTTTAAATTCTTATTTGTGTTCTTCGTAAATTAAGTATAGTATGGAACCCGTTTTATAAACTTCTCTAGACACTCGTTTTTATTAAACACTCGTTCGCAAGCTTCGTTAGTGCCTAATTAAAGTCTAAACTATAATGGCGTTTATACATAACTAATACTATTAATGCGATTGTCGGGGTGTATTTTCGTTTAATTGACTAACATCGTTATATACCTTTTATAAGGCAAAAAATTAAACGATTTTGTTGATTTTTTTTATGTATGTAATCATAATTTTATTAAAAAAAAAATAAACATTCTATTGTATAGTGTATGGTTTGACGTCTTAAAAAAATATGAGAAAATTTATAAAATTGTGAAAACTACAGCCATTGCTCAAAACACATTTTTTACAAAGGTTTGCGGTGAGCACGATTTGTTGAAAAGCAATTTACCGATCGATCTGAAATTTGAATAAAAGGTTTTTTATTTGTAAGGAAATTTACAAATTTTCTTATTATTTTTTTTACAAATACGTCAAAGCATAAACTATTCAATCCTATAGTTTGCTTAGATAAAATTATGAAGACATACCAAAACAAAATCAACCAATCGTTTTGTTTTTCGCCTTACAAAGAAACCACTTAAGTAAATTTAGTTATTTATTTAGTCTTGACCCAGGAAAAATAAAACAGCAACAATTTTCTTGCTTGGAAGTAATTTTGAATATTAATTATGAATTGTGAAATGCGAATATTTTAGTCTTAAAACTGGATTTTTTTAAATAAAGATGCAAAGTTTTAATAAGAGTTTTCATTAAAAATAAAAAGCGAGTGAGATTAGGTTAAAAGTGTTTAATGGATCCGCCTTAATCTTTTTTGGGGGCGAGCGACACTGACAAAATTAAATTTCATAATTCTGAAAACCGCACTTAAATATACGGTTTAATTAGACCAACGTCGACTTTCACAAGTATGCAAATTCCACTGGCATCATTCGAAAATTTTAAATCCACCTTTGTCAAAATCTAGATACCCTGCAAACGACTTTTATTTTTTAATTTAGTTTCATGGCTTTCTGTAATTCCGCCTGATGAATGAGGTTTGAGTAATAAAAACAAAAAAAGAATTATCAATCTGGCTGAGTAGTGAGTGGGTAAATGTAATGCAATTGAAGTTATGTAAAAAACAAATACAATTTTTTAGACAGTAAACAATTTGTTTCGTTTATACTCAATTATTTCGTTTATTTCTTATTTCAAGCATAACATTTTTATATAAATAATTAAAGAATTATTTTTTAACAATTTACTAAAGCATTTTTTAGATTTAACTATAGTTATATATATATATATATATATATATAAATAAAAACAGATAAGTTTTCGGGTAGTAAACAGTTCTTGAAACCTTTCAAATGAGGTACCACTTGGCCTATTATAAGTATTAAAATTTTAGGGCAAGTGATTTTAGGGCAAGTGAAATCTATTGAAAAATATGTCCCCCTTGAAACTGAAGTTGACATCTTGCGTTTTTTGTAAATTTAATGCTTATTACCTTAAAACTCCTATTTCGTTTTAGGGGCCACCCTGTATAATTAAATGGGTATACAATATCACATCTTTAACATTTATATATTATATATATATATATATGGTTTGTCATGTTTTAAGAGCCCTGTCAAAAGATCAGCTTAATTAAAAAATTTTTAGGGGTCGCTCAAGATTTTTAAAAATTTCCAAAATCGTCAAAAATTAGATTTTTTTTATTTTAATTTTTTTTCTCGTTCCGATATTATTTTTTAATTTAAAAATAATAATGATTCTGAAAATTTCAAATCGATATTTTGATTTCTAAAGGTCGCTCAAGATTTTTTTAACTTTCAAAATAAAGTATTTTGAATGTTTTTGAGCGACCTCTGAATATAAATATCAACGAACTTTTAGCGACCTTTAGAAATCAAAATATTGATTTGAAATTTACAGAATTTTTATTATTTTTAACCAAAAAAATAATATCGAGACGATCAGGGCAAAAAGTCCCGAGGCTCATGGAATGCTCTAGTTTTTTCAATTAAAAAATAAAATTTGTTATCATATACCTTTTAAACCTTTTAAATAATGCGATGTAACAATTATTGTAATCTCGAATATCTCGGAAACGGTTTATTTTATCGAAGTTTGAGAGGTACACCTTTTTAATGATAGCCGAACTGTGTAATCGAAAAATTGCATCAAATGGCATAAAAACCTAACCTCAAAGTTTGTATGGGATAATAAGTTTAAAGCAACCCCGTTTCTACGACACTGTGTTCACTCAAACAATTATAATTATGTGTGAATATGTGTTTTGGTATTAAGTGATTGTTCGCAAAATATCAACTTTTCAAGACTACCATAGTAGTATAGTAATATAGTAATAGTTTATATTAAAAAAACTGAAATGATAAGTAACACTTTATCACCCTGTATCTTGGAAACATAAGTAATTGGGAAAAATATTTATTTGGGTTTTCGTCTTATTTTGACTTGCTCAATCTTTTCCCAAATTTATGCCAATAAGTTTAGGGACACCTTGTATATTTCTATATTATTATTATATAATTATATTATTATTAAAAAACGATAACAGATTCCCGGGCAAATAATTAAATGTAATGTAACAAATAGTTTATTTGTTATTCCAAACAAAACATTTTTAAAAACTTAATTAAGGAATTCTCGTTGTGCAAGTTTTAATTAAAATAAATATAATTAAAAATAATAAGCACTTTACTTTGCTTCAAATAAAGAGGATATTAATTAATTCTTTGTTTGCTTTTTATTAAATATGTTATAACAATATAAATCATATTATATTCCATTATGTTATTTCTGTAATTTTTACTACATATTTATTTTATATTATACATGATATTTTTTAACTATAAATAATAAATTTAGTTATTAACTCAACGTAAAAATTCTGAATTTAATATATTAAAATATATCAAAATAAATTATTTTTTTAATTATTACTATATATTTATTGTAGAGGTTTAATTTAAACATTTTATTTATATAAGTTTTTTTTTATATAAAAATTGGTAATAAAAATTTCAAAACCCCAAAAAAACCTTTTTTCAAAAATACAAAATCTTCCTTTTCATATTTTTAAGGTATATGCCCCCAGTGACCCCCTCTACGTGGCGAAACACCCGACTGGCGGACCGTTTCGGTGCCGTATGCCCGCAAAGGCCACCGGACATCGGAAACAGATCGGAGGCGCTTCTGGAATATCCAAAAGGTCGCCTACTATATCTAGAAAAATTGTTACCACTGCTGGCCAATCAGAGCGAGGACTGCCTCTACCTCAACCTATACGTACCGCGCACAGGTAAGTCGATTGTAGTTTTAAGAATATAATCAATATAAAAAATTCAAAATTAGGATTTTTTACTTTTATTACTTATATTTTTACTTTTATCATTTACAACATTGTTTTATTTGTCAACATGGTTAGGCAGCCTGTTTCAAACTTTTGGTCCTTATCAGTGCCGGGTGCCATATGGCACAAAGCACACTCGAACAAAAAGCTCTCGTCCCTCTTGTAAAGTAACCGCAGCAAATGTCCGTTGCATTATCAATTTGTAAACCAAGCACATACTTTACAATTTGCTATAAAATGAAAAAAAAACTCAATTAATCTGTATTGTGCTGATACAGATATATTTATTACCACTTTTATTTTGCCCAAATATCAAAGCACCGTGAATAAAAAAGATTAACTAGCACAAAAACGTATTTAAAATATATATGTATTGAAAAAAAAATCCCATATAATCCTGCTAAAACCTATATAACACAATCCAAATGCAAAAAAATAAAATGCAAACCAATGAGCTTTGCATTTATATGTCATAGGGTTTATGTAGATAAAAAACGACCAATTAATTGTATTATTTTCGTAATCCCATAATCTTTTGCGACAGCACAATAAAAGCTCTATTCGGATTTGAAAAATGCCTCGTTATAGCGCGTTCAGTTTTCGCGCCTCATTAAAAAATCATTCGGAAAATTCGCGTGTCAGCCGGCGTTAGCGAATGAAACAGCACGTGTTAACTCATTAATGAGATATAAACTGTGCTGTTAAAACTGAGGCCGGATAAGCGCCCTGCTTTATTGAAAATAAGTATAACTAACAGAGAAAGGGATTTAACAGATTGATTTTTCAGTAGCAAAATCATTTTTATAATTTTTTACTGGATTAATATGACAACAAGAAAAGTCAAGAAAATTCATTAAAAAGTGTTTAAAATTCACCGAATAAAAGTAAAGCTGCAAAAGGTCAATAGTTCGTCGTAAATGGACTTTTTAAATCAAAATAAATTAAATTATTCAAGTGAAACTGCTGAATGTGCCGAGAAAAATAAAAAAAATCCTAAGGGATAATGTATTCTTCTAAAGTAAGTACAAAAGGAATAAGGAACAGTTTAAACTTAAACAAAATAAATATAACTTAAACAAAATAAATATAACTTAGCAATAGACGCTCTATTGGAAAATTTATAGTATTCTTAAAAAAAGTCTTATATTACTTTTTTTTAATGATTTCACAGGTCTAGTCAAATTTGGTTAAAAAGTAATTATAGAACCCAAATCAATAAAAAAAATAGTTAATTAAAATAACAATAAGCAAAAATTTAAATTCAAAATTTTTCCCAGTCTATTAAATAAAAAAATGAGAGATATATTCAAATTGATATTTTTATTTTAAAACTAAATTAGTACAAACGTAATTTTAATATCTAGATTTCTTCACTCCAAGGTAAAGTTATTTCAATGTTAATAATTTTTAAATCTTAAAAAAATTATTATTCCATATTTTCAGAAAAGACATAATTATACTTATAATTAACTTAGATCGTCTTGAGGCACGTGTTGTTCTTAATTAAAAAAAATCCTAGTGTTTTTTCATTAAAACGAAGCATTTTAGGGGGCGTCGCAAAAAATTTAATTTTTAACGACCACCCTAATATACATAGGTACATATATACCTAGTTATTTATGTAGGTGTTAATTTTTGGAAAAGAAAAAATTAATAAAATAAAATTACAATTCAGTATAAGTATTTAAGTTTTTTTTTCTATAACATGTGCTATGAGGCGCTGTTTGTGCCATAATAACTTACTTACAACAATGCATTTTAAACTTTAAAATTAATTTTAGAAAATGACTTGTCAATATTAAATTTTTGGACTTGTACGGTTCTTAATCTCTTCGATTCAATTTCAGTTTATCGACTTTTTCAACTTTACCTAATTGCTCAAGATTTTTTTAAAACACAAAAGAAATTTTTCCTAAACTGCCACAAGCGCTTAAACATATCAATGTTTCAAAACTCGAACAAAGGGAGCAATCGAGATAAAAAAAAACCCGAAAAACTGGTCTGCGACTTTTTTACCGAGAGCACTTTGAGCAATTTAAAACGGTTACGTCGAACGAAAGATATGCAAGGCCCGAACTTTTAGGTTATAAAAAGTCAAAAAAGCTGAATTAGGTGACGTAGACAAAATTATTATTTTAGGCACTATGGTCCACATCAAAAAGTTCCACCTTAAAATATTTAAATACAAATAATTGAGGTTATCTATCTATCAGTTTAACGCTATTTAAGTGTTAGATAAAAACCTTTAAACAAAAAATACATACGAGGTGTGTTCAGAAAATAACGGAAATTATGCGGGTTCGGAGGGTCCGGTTGTCATAAAATTTTCTTTATAATGTTGGTATACATAACCTCGAAGTATGATTAAAACTTTAGCTGTTTTCATTGTTTACTTTGTCTGTGGCAGCCGCTAAGGTTAGACGTGTTTTATGAGCTCGGCGATTTTTCGTTCGTTAAAAGAAATTAATCAAAGAATTTGTATCCAATTTTCCTTAAAAAATGAAATAAATTCTGTGAAATGTTAACAAAGGCCTATAGTGAGTCTGCTATAAGTAAAACAAGAGTTTACAAGTGGTATAAGAGTTTCCAAGATGGCCGTAAAGACGTTGAAGATGACGAATGCCCCGAACTTACAAGCACATTAACAACCGATAAAAACATGGAAAAAGTGGAAGAAATGGTTATAAATCATCAGAGATCGCTGATGATGTTGGTATATCGATTGGCTCATCCTATGAAATTTTTTCGAATGTTTTGGGTATGAAACGCGTGACAGCAAAATTTGTTCTAAAATTGTTTAATTTTAAACAAAATTTTTGGTCAAAAACAATACTGTTATGATTCCCCAGCCTGCATATCGCCAGACATGCCTTTGTCTGACTTGTTCCTATTCCCAAAAATAAAGAGAACCTTAAAGGGCCGTCGTTTTGCAAGCATAGATGACATTAAAAGCGCATCGCTGAAAGAACTAAGGGCTATCTCAAAGATCGAGTTTTAGAAGTGTTTCGAGTATTGGAAGAAGAGCTGGCACATGTGCATAATATCCAATGGGGACTATTTTGACGGCGACAATATTAATGTAGACGAATAAATAAATATTTCTTTCAAAAAACGAAAATTTCGATATTCTTTGAACACACCTCGTATATGTAAAAAACGCAAAAATAAAACATTATCCTTTAATAATTCTGTACTTACTTTCATTGAAATTCTCGAGTTTGCTACATTTTGTCTAAATTTATTCTACAGTGACCTGTTATTTTGAAAAATCTAGATTGTTATACTCTTTACAAAAGGTACTTTAGGTAAAATAAAACTTGGTCAGACGACTAAATATTTAAAATAACGTACACAACAATATCTTTAAAACCTTAAAAATCAACAAAAGGTATTTTACCTTAAATCCGGGCTTTGGAGATAAGGTGTAAAATCGATTAGAGGTGCATTCGTGCAATATATCACTAACGCCTCGATCTCCACACATAATGTCACAGTTTGTCGGGTCTAGTCCAAAGTCAGCTGCCACCTCTGGCATATAAATCTCCAGAGAAATGAACGTGAGCGTGTGTGTGCCAAAAATTATATTAAAAATCTCAGGAATTTAATCATTTTAATGTTCAAGCATTTTATATGCCTTTAGTTATTCGAATTATTCTTCTGTTAATGAAAAAGTTTATTCTTAAATAAAACAAAAACAACAGGCGAATAAATTTACATATACAAATATTAATTAATTTTAATTTAGATAAATTACTTATTGGTATTTTCAACCATTTCATTTCATGATAAATCAAACTTCGGTTTTGGTATTTTTTGGTAAAAGTAGCAAAGACTTTTTTATTTAACAATGTAATCTAAAATGATATAAATCACTTGAGGGGCGTCTGTGTTAGCAGGAAATAGTGATATTTCCTGCTGCAATCATTCTTAGGAAAACAATGCCGTCATTTTATTTTATTCCATCTTCGATTCCTCTTTAATAATAGCAAAATAAAATAGAAAACTCGCCCCTATAATCGGAGATTTCTTCCTATTTTAGTATTTTAATTTAATTAAGTGAGAGATGAAAATAATCTTTGATTAAGTTTTTAAATTTTCTAAGGATCTGTTTTACGAGATGATAAATTGTTTTAGTGAGACAAAATATTGTTTCTCAAGTTTAAAGTAAACGATACTTTAATGTTTTGTACTTGAGTAAATTGCTCATTATTTTTAATGGAACCTTACAGTTGTGCGATATTATTAATAATTTTATAATAACTATAAAAAAATCAAGATTTCTTGTGAGCATTTAGCATCATTAGGTTTTTTACAGTTTTGAATTAATCATTAATTAATTATTGTACTGTAATGTTACACATTGGAAAATTATGCAATATCCCAAATAATAATTATTATTAATAATAATATAAATAATTATAATTATGATTATTTCCCTTATTATAATATGAGCCAATCAAAAGCATTGAATTTTCGAATAAATTTCGTTTAAATAAGCGATTAAATCACTAGAACTATTTAACAGCGATTAAATTTTAGCCTCCATATTGGATTTTTGTTTACGATTTTATGGTGTTATTTACAAGTTTTAAAAAACATTTTTTAAAAAACAATAAAAAATAAGTTATCTAGTTTACGAAATATCAATTATTACTTATTACATACCTTAAATTAATGGAATTTTCTTTAAAAAAATATTTATAAATTTTGACACATACGTCAGATTTTATGAATTATCAAATAGTTTCCTTTAATTCGAGAAATAATCTAGACATATATCACTCAACCTATAAATTTAATCTGTCAAACTATGCTCAGTAAGTTTTTTATTTGATTTCTTTTTGGAAAATAGTTTCATGCAAAATAATTAAAAATAAAACCCCTCGACCGCTACGCGGTCTCGTGATTTTATTAAATTATTTTGCATTCAACATTTTCCAACAAAAACC